TACAAGAAATGGAGTGATTTCCATTACGAGATCCCGGAGGCCACGATTGCGGAGATTATTGAAATGGATGACACGCTGGATGGTGATGACTTAAACCTTGATGTCTGAACGGTTTTCACACTTGGAACGGCTTGAACAGTTTAGCTAGTCTCCTTTGCAGCCTTCTTTTTCTGAAGGGCACAGGAAACCCGAACCAAAACAGCTTGCAAAGTAGACTAGAGTTTAGCCGGCTGACTAACTGAAGCAATCAAATTCTTTTAAGGATTCCTAAGAGTTGCAACTCACAATTAAGATCTCTCATTTTTTTTTTTTTTTGTCTCGAGTAATTTTTTGTGTGATTATTTTTAAATTTCAGCCGCAAAAAAATTTTGTTTGAAAGCACACTATTCAATAATGTAATAGTAGGTACTTAATTGGTCTACTTCCAATAAAGGTCAATGAATTCATTTAGCGGGAGTTGACTAACGAAACTTTACTTTGTTGATGACTTACCTGACTTAACTTGTTCCTTATCTCTTTCGATTCCCATTTCTTTATTTCTGTGCTTCCTTCTTTTATAAACTTTGCAGCTTACAAATCACAGGCCCATGTGATGTGATGACATGAAAGTATTGTATAAAAATGTTTTCAATTTTCTAAAATAGCTAGCCCGACTTCACGCTCTAAGAGCGTCTAGTGTCTTCATAGTTGCGGTTTCCCTGTGGAATCGGACAGCTTGTAATCAAAGATGGTGGACTAAAGAAGGATCGCAGATGGACCCGTGGAAGGGCAATGTAAAATGTGTTGCATCATGTGAATGCACAAATGAAAACCTTTGTTGTAATTATACTTATATTAGAGTGTTTATTTTTATTCTTATGAACTTTAAAGTCAAGTGCTACTAATTATATAAAACGACCAAAAGCCATCAAACTTTATAGAAGCTGAACTCATTCCACAAGGAATGGAAAGAACATCAAGGAAATTCTGTAACTTATATTACAAAAAGTTAGCTGACAAGATTCTAAGAAGCTAAAGAAATCACGGTAAAATATTATTTTTATTTAAATTTACGTTCTATGAAGTAAGTATATAACGTTTTTTGTCGTTAGGTCGTTCATATCCTTGGTGATATTCTCTTTTTTGTTTTCTATTTCACTTTGCTTCCAATCTTTTTAATAATCAAAACAATAATGTCAGTAAACAACCTTGTTTGCAGAGCTAGCTAATATGGCGACTGGCGTCACTTCCCCATCATCATTTTCAGCCAGAGAAAAGACAAATTTCATTAGGTTGTCAAGGCTACTGATTGATGTTGGAAGACGTGTGTTCCAAGATGTCTTTGATTCTATGCATCCACCTTCCACTCTCCATGCAGTCCTCAATTCTATTCCTGTTAAAAACAAGCTGCTTAGGCTTCAATCCTGCAAAGTTCTTCATACACAACAATGGAATCTGCTTTACCCTACCTCAGGCATAGCACAGTCAAAAGACTTTGATATTACTCTGCTTTTCCTCCTGTTAAGGAACTTCTGTGGTCTAAGAATTCCTTCAAGAGGATGGGATAGTGAACCAACACCAACAAATCTAACTATGGAAGATGATCTGGTTAGGATAAAACTTTGTCGTAACATGATTTATGCTCACATTGTAGAGATGGCTTTGACTGATGATGAATTTGAAAGTTACTGGGACAAGATTGAGGCAGCTTTGAACAGACTTGGAAAGTCTAAGTATAAAACACAGATTGAACATCTCAAGTTTACATCAATAGATCACGAGATGAACAACTGTTATCATGCGCTTGTACAGTCTTGGGAGGAGATGAAATGCAATGCCAATCAACAAGGTAAAGGAGCCATCATTATTAGGCGCCAATACTCTAATAATAGAGTTGTGATGACAAAAGACAACCGCTGTTTTGTCTATTACTGTTTCACGGACTTTTGATGTTGTGACTACAAAACAGTTAGAAAAACACCCTTTTTGTTATTTTTTTCTTTCTGTTTGCCATTCTTGTCCATATTCTTATTAGATGCCCTTTCTCTTTTTTTAAATTATCTCCTTGCAATCATTCTCTTGTTCATTTCAAAACTAGAAAAATGATAAATATCAGTAAAAGCAACTATCTTAGACAATATGGTTGATAATGTTTTAAAATGTCACTGCTTCTCATATCGATGTGGTACAACAGTTGGTTTTCCACTTCCTTCTTTCCTGGCTGGTGGCACAGCATCAGAACAAGGGGGAAGGGGGTTGGTATGTCAGTATAAGCACACTATAAATATTGTCACAGGCAACTCAAGCTAAGCATTTGACTAGCAGATTTAGCGATATCTATAATGCATGTAAATATGAAATTTTTGAAAGAAAACATAAATGAGAAACATTTTTCTTACCTAGTAATGGGTTTTTAGTTCTGAATAAAGTCATAATGCAGTTTTTCTTGATATCTCCCCCTCTATACTTATATCATGTTACAACATGAGGAAAATGTTTCTTATTCCTTCTTTCAAAAATTTCATATTTACATGCACTATTATAGATATTGCTAAATCTGCTGGTCAAATGCTTGAAAACATTTCAACCCATTTTTTCCAAGATTGTTGTTAATGTAACATACAAAGTCTTGACAAATTTAGAAAAATCTCAAAGTGCAAATCCTAATTGTTTAATTTTTAATTTGTTGGTGAGCAATGCACATGCCTGAGTCCTACACAGCCTCTAACAGATTACACAAGAAATAATTTTGGCTTCCTGTGTTCTATTGCTATCTACTCCCCAACTAATCTGTGTATTTATGCGAATATTATTCAAAAAGCAATGAAGTGCAACAGTCGAGCTTGTGACTTGTCAAAGTCGCATGAATTATATCAAGCAAAGACTGAGCATTCGGTGTATACCAGAAATAAAAAATATTTTCTACCAATGTTGGAATGCAAAGCCTATAAAAATTACAGCAACTATTAGATAAAGGAGAATTACATTGAAGCCGTTTTGAAGAAAATGGACTTTTTGTGATTTTTTAACAGGCCGTACAATTTAAGCTTTTATTCATCTCCAGTAAAAAGATTGTAATTCTTTTAATTTGTTATAGAACTGAAATTTACACACATTAATTTTCACAAATTGATGTACAACATATCGCAAGATCATTGCAATCGATTGTATATTTGTAGGTGGTAGGTCTTATTTTGTGCTCATTTTTGAGCCGCGTTCATCTTTATTTCTGCCAGAGCTTTTCTAACCAAATTCACAGACCTTATGCAGTTTGATGAGATATACAAATTCTGAAAATTTCTAGATGATCCGACTGTTAGTTTTAGAGTAAATCGTCGAATACTAAAGTTACCACTGCTTAAAAATGCGCTCTAGATATCTTTTAAAACTAGCCATTACTAAATACTGACAACAAAAACAAAAATAAAAAATACTGACAAAAAAAACTGCAATAATTACTGCATGTTGTATCAAAGTTTCAGCACGTTTGACTAAATACTTTTGCGAAGCGAGCGAGTTAAAAAAGTACAAAATTTGCGTTTCATTAGTTGTGATCCACCTTTAAGTCTTAAAAAACTGTGTTGTCCAGGGGCGGATCCAGCATTTTATAACGTGGTGCTTTTGTCAGTAATATATAGCTAAAATTTAAGTATAGCAGATGGAACTGATCCTTTTTGTTAGCTGCATATTGTCTAGAACAAGAAAATTATGCACAATTTGACCGGGTGCAAATTTAAAGTTGACTTTTTAAAGTTTTAAAGTTGTTAAAATTGAAACGTATCTTTGACTACACTACTCAAATATATTGTTAAGCAGCATAGTGGCAGACACATGTTGTGAATGCTACTCGTTTTCTCGATAAAAGTACAACAGGAGTATATACAGCAGAAAAGGGGGGTGTGCTTTGGGTGCACACACACGCACACACGCACCTCCGCTGGATCCGCCCCTGCTGTTATATGAAATAGAGTATAATCTATTTGTTCATAAGATATATCTATGCGATTATAGAATATACAATGATTATCAGAGGTATCATCAAGACATTAACAGCTGGAGGGACAATCTTGGCTTGGACTGCAGGAAGTGCTTACTTCTTAATGCGTTACAGAGAAGACCCTGAAACAGTGATACGTCTCGTACGAGAAGCAATTGTACCTAGTGGTTTTGCAACCAGTGCAATTGTGTATGCGTTATTGCCAGGCTCTTTCAAAATACTTGTAGAGATTAACTCTGATGCCTTAGATTACATATCAAGAAGGTAATAGTTCTTGTAAATTGCATCGGTTGAATACAAGTTTAGCATTCTTTGACTTTTTAGCCTCAATGATGGAAGCTTAAGAAAGAATCTGGAAAACGTTATCGTTACCGATAAATTATGTCATCTGGCGCCAGATGGTACTAAGAAAGTGCTGCTTTCAGTAGTTTCTTTGGAAGGTGAGAATTTATCACCATTTTACTTGCCTCCTTGGACTTTTTGTCTTTTTGGTGTTGATAAGTGACTGCGCAATATTTATCAGGAGGAAGGATTGAGAAATAAGCCAAAAAATCATAAAAGTTAATTACTACCCCTCCCCCCGCAAACGAAATAAATCCCCCCTCTTTAACTCTTTCAGCACATAAAATTAGATGTTGCCCCCTCAACCTCTTGATTCTAACACCCCTCCTCCCCCCCCCTCCTGATAAATATTGCGCAGTCCCTAATCTTGACCAGAAAGAACTAGGTCGAGTAAGTAATTGTGCAGTTTTGGGACGAATTGAACCCATTCCAAACCCTTATACCATTTCAGATGGCCTGCACTGAATTTTAACCTTCTCTACAAGTAAAAGTATAATGCAACATGTTTGATGGTATCATCTTTTTGCGACCCGACAATTACGTTAATTCAATTAGGTGTAATCATCCGTCGCCATTGTCAGCTAAGAATCAATTGAAAATTGAAAATTACAATTATGATAATAATATTCTAAATAAAATTATAAATTCTCCAGGCCCAGACAACGAGTCACCTGACCTAGAAGCTCAAACGAGGAACACGTGTACATGTTACTTTAAATTAAATGAAACAGTTTATCAGGGACCGCGGAACGGGGATTTGTTTGGGGGGTCTAGCGGCGAGGAGGTACTA